CACTTGTCAAATGCATTTCCAGTGCCTTAGGTAATCCTTGCGTGTCTCCACGCATTCTCTTTTAGCCAAGTGCTTTCCGGGCCCTGGTCCCAGCACCCACTCACACCCACCCTTCAGTGGGGTGCCCCGTTCATTGCGGGGCCGCCGCCTCAGCACTGCTGTGTGCTCGGCTTCTCTCTCAGCCTTGACCTTGCCTTTGCTTGGGCCAGGTACTCCCTGTCCACCCTATAGCACAATAAAAATGCCTTTCACAACATGGAGAGACTGTGTGGTCCTTCTTGGCCTCGGTGGTTTTCTCTCTTTTCTGACATTGCTCTTGAATCAGCATTTAGCAAACTTGTTTCTTAAGTAAGTTTGACCCTTCCTCTCTCCACACACATGCACACACACATGCACGTGCGCACACACACACACACCCTTAAAGTCCTCACACTACATTAGAAAGGTTTGAGGGTTTTTAAAATGATCTTTCATGGAGGTTTCTTCGGAAGCATAGTATTATGGTTTGAGGAGAGGCTCACCCTTCTACCCAGTACATGGTTCCTGTAGGATCCAAATGTACTTCCTGCCAACAGTGTCCTGAGCTGCCCAATTCAAAAGGAAGCTTTGCCCGGCCGGGCGTGGCTCAGCGGTTGAGCGTCGACCTAGGATCCAGGCCATCGGGGTTCGATTCCCGGTCAGGGCACATGCCCGGGTTGTGGGCTGCAGCCAATCAGTGACTCTCTCATCATTGATGTTTCTATCTCTCTCTCTCCCTCTCCTTTCCTCTCTCTGAAATCAATAAAGATATATTTTTTTAAAAAAAAGAAAAGGAAGTTTCAACCCTAGGCAGTTGGCTCAGTGGTTAGAGCGTCGGCCCGCAGACCAAAGGGTCCTAGGTTTGACTGTGGCCAACGGCATGTACCTCTGATTGCAGGCTTGATCCCCGCCCTAGTCTGGGCCCATGCAAGAGGCAACCAATCAATGTCTCTGTCTCTGTCTCTGTCTCTGTCTCTGTCTCTCTGTCTCTCTGTCTCTCTCTCCCCC